CTGTGTGTTTTAGCTGTTAAAAATAGGGACTGTATTATTGGCCCACTTGTGAACAAAAACAGTGAGGGATTGGCTCGCATCTCTTCGTCACTGTCTCTACTATCTTCTCTCCTCACCCAAAGCAGGCCACCCATTCACTCACAACCCACCCCGCCCTTCTTACAATTTTTTTTATATTCTCTCCTCAGTCTCTTTAATTTCCTTCCCCTCCTCTTTCCCTCCACTTAGAACGACGCGAGGAGGGGTGAAGAAGAGGGTAATTAAAATGGGGATGCTGTGCAGTGAAATGAAGCCAGTGCAAAGACACACCTCATGCCTAAGAGATGAAAATATAAATGGAATAAGACAAAAATAGGTGAAAAAATAGATGAACAATATATTGTTTTGTGATTTTAATCAAATGGTTCTTACACAACTGACTTTGATGAACCACATACCCCTCTCTCACTCACACACACACAAACGAGGAACAAAGCAGCAGTACAGAGATCTGATTGATGTGCATAGCTCCAGGACAACTCAAGAAACAGGTGAGATAGTGACAGCTCACAAAAAGAAGAGGAAAATCAGATCCCAGTAACTGTACCATGGTTGCTGCAGAGAGAGGGATTGGCAAGACCACAGAGGGTGCAGATGGAGGAGTCACCTTGAGGGAGAAGAGGGGAAGGAGGGAGGGAAGGAACACAGTGGCAATGCCAATTTATTTCTTTTCAGGTCATAAGCTTGTAGATATTGAGAAACACACTTGATGAGCAATTCAACTGTATCCTAAAGGAGACTCAGGAATTCATTGTACAAAAAGGTTATAAGGTATGATAGCTACAAGAGAAAATCCTGTAATCCTGAGAAAGGCTTCACAGGTGTCAGTTTGCACTCATTGTCTGTTTGTGGAACGAAACACAGTCGGTCTGTTCAGTGGTGACTAAACACTGGAGTCTGGTCTTTTTTTCAGCTGAGGTGTGGGTGGAAAATAAAATAATATTGACTCAACGCTCATACGCAGCTTTATAGCAGAATATAACTATAATTATAATAAATGCACTTCTTGGGAAAATGAAGTTTAGCACTTCGCTCACCTGGGCTACAGTTGATCACAGCTAAAGAAAATCATGTTTGAGCTTTGTAGTGAGGTATTTGAGAAGGATTCAGACAAGTAAAGTAAGTGGGCAGGATTAATAAAGTCAAATAATAATATATATACATTTTGGCATGGATGACCAAAGTTTGTTTCAAAGGGTTCTTCTTTAAATGGTGTCAGGTGGTCATGTTATTTCACCTTTATTTTGAAATCCTGAAGAGGATAACATTACCCCTCATTAAACAACAGTGACATCTGTTGGTGGAGTACTGACACAGACTCAAAGGATAAGTCTGCTAATATTATATATTTTTCTTATTGTCAACAAATGTAAGAAAGGAAAAGATTTAGAACAAAATCTTATTCCTCTGTTCCACAGACCCCCACCTCCAAAGACTATTAAAACCACATCAGTGAGTAACTCTATAGTATGTTCATTCATTATTATGAACATGGGCACTGTAGTTCATACCCTCCTGCTGCCAAAGAGTGCCAAAACCACAGAAGAAAAATGTTCCCAAACAGATATAATATTCACTTTTATTTAAGTAGGTCCCCAGCTGCTTGAGGAAATGAATGAGCCTTTTTAAAATAAAACTATACTGTGTATTTGTAGGTTGTTTTCTAAGATTTACGTCTTCAGTAGGAACAAATAGGTTTGGGGGCTGAGAGCCACAGACAAGCTGGGGAAGTCAATAAAGTACTGAGTGACTGACAGACACTTTTGGTTTTAGTATATACATGGGATGTGTTGACACAATCAAAGATATATAATATCTCAAGCCTTATCCTTTAATGTTACTTAATCTAAGGACAAATTAAATGAGCAGTCTTACTTGTTTAAATCTACCATGTCTGATTTTTAGAAGCATATGTGTTGTTTTGGGAGATACCATGCATTAAAACACTTGAGTGAACAATAACTGATGGCGGGAATTGGAGAGCTGAGATGCTACAATACAACCTTCTCCAACCACCACAGGTCTTTTTCACAGCAGGCATTTTAACTTGTAGGAAAAGCACAGGTGTTACTAATAACATTCACGATGGCTCGGTTCTATCCAAGTGTCCCAGTAAGTGTCTTTCATTTAATTATTTACACTTCAGAGTTGGAAAAATTGACACTTAATAAGATTCACAAAATCCTGAGTCTTAAAGAATGAGTACGGATGAATTCAGGTAATAACTGCTAATTAATCTATTTCCTAGATAACTCCTGAATTAAGGGTTAGTGGATAAAACATACTGCTATGTTAAACAATCAGTGCTTTGCTAGATATCTGTTCTTATCTAAATGTATGCATAATGACCAGTTTTTTAACACATCATTCCTGATAAACTGGTAAATGACATTTAACCAACCAACCAACTCGTCATGTATATATCAGTTGTTTGTTTGTCCCGTCAGTTAAGGTGCTGCATTATACTGAGTTTTTATTAAGAATACATCATTATTTCATGATTACCATTCCATTAGTTCCTTGCTGCATTACTTTGATCATCCACTCACAGTAATTCAACTACTCATTAGCTGTTTGTTAATTAATTTAATTTCTGCATTATTCCTTATTAGTTAATTGATAACTAATTCATATTATGTAAAGTGAGATGCACATAACATACAACGGTAAGAAGGAGAAAGCTCAAAGGATACTAATGCCAGTATGAGAAGTCCAATCTGTAACGACAATAAACAAGAAGGAAACATCCTTCATGTTTCTGAAAAAGGGTTTTCTTCAAGTGCTTCTACATGCATAACAGTGTTTTGAACTAAATTAAACTCAAGGGCGATTGAGGTTTTTTTTTTTGACAAATGGAATCAATCTGCTAAATATAAAGACAGAACAGTAGAGAAGAGATTTCTGGAAGGTATTTGGACCGAGATAAAGCATCAGCTACGGCTTAATGGGCTATACAAATACACCCCCAAGACAGCAGAGGATATATTAACATATGGCAAAGGTATTACAAGCTGTAAGAGGAGAGAACAGTGTACCTCACACAATATGAGGCTCTGTGTGGTTTGTTAATGGTCACGAGGAGCTGTGGGAGTATTAGGAATGTGTTTTAGGTGTGGCTCTGCAGAGGAGACCCTTTAATCTTTAAATGCTTCATGTTTTAAAGTGCCCTTGACTATATTTGTGAAAGTGTATTAGGTTTGCATCACTGATTATTGGGAATTATTGCAGTAAAACCTTTGTTGAGAAGACCAAGGACGCTGCACTTCTTGAGTGCTGACAAATGAAACACACATTGATCTGGTGCTAATTTCTGAGCATACACACATAAACAAACTCTACTTTTCTATTTCAACTGAAAATATTGTATTAAGCCACTTCTGAGGGAATGAAAATTATAGTTTAAAGTACTGTGTGTGGTAACAAAATAATTTTAGTCCACAAATTGTCACATAAAAGCATATTTGTTATCGCTGTCCTGATTTACAATGAAGGGTAGGTTCATTTATGTAAGTAATGCAGTAACTAATCAAATCAATTTCCATTACCACTTACCAACATTGTAATTTTGACTGAATTCAGGAAGGGTGGACAGACTTTCTTCCTCGTTTAAGCACAATAATTATAAACCTTCATTTGTCCCTCTGTCAGTTAAACATATTTACTGGGCAACTCCTGGAGGATAGACACAAGAGCTGTAAGCATGTAATGTGAGGCATGTTTGTTTGCTTGTGATTTATGTACTAAGGTGTGTATGTTTTGAGAAGTATGCCTTTGTATTTTTGTCATTTTGAACAGAGTGAATGCCTAAGTGACTAATTTGCTCGGGTGTTTTATGTCAGGCAAACATTAGCCTGACATCTTATTTAATCTGCTATTATTGTGATATTTGGTTTTGATACAGCAACTCCCACAATCCAAGACAATTTCCCTTTATGGGAGACAATAAAGTAACCTTATTATTATGTGACCCCATTAGGGATTTCAGCTATATTGCGCCTGTAATGTTTGTATCATATGTTTATCACATTCTGTATTTTAATAGATGTTACCAAACGTGGTGACACCACTATTTAGATAGTGTCAAAACAAAATTGTGACCCTTTAATAGCCTGGATCACAAATTTGCAGGGTATACACATACCCACTTATTTTTCAGTCAACATTGGGTATACCCACTTTTAAATCCCCTCTGATGCTCATCATTCAGAAGTTTTTCCTAGGATGGCAAAAGCATGACATAGTTTTCATGAGTGGATGGAGTAAGGAATATTTCACTCAAAATCCATAACTATGTAGTCTCACATTATAGCCTGTGGGCCAGTACTGACTTTTCTGTGGATAATGCAGAAGTTAAATGATAGTGTCTAAATACTACTGGCCCATGGTGAGGTAAATATGCAAGACTAGTGTTATATTTCACTGTTTACAACACATGAGGTTAATCCTTTGCTGGACGGGCCACTTTAAATATAAATTAGGGCATAAATTAAGATTATACCCACTTCTCCAGGCACCACCACACCACTGGCTGTAACTAACTTTCTGATGGGTCACAGCCTTGTGTGAATGTGTGATCTTGTTGTATATGTTTGGTAATCTTTATTTTTATCCAACAAAATGTGATAAAACATGTAAACAGATATCCAGGTGGTCGCACAATCTTAAGGAATACAGGATTCAGTATAACACCGGCCAGCAGGGGTCCTCAGTGAGCCGTGTGGTGTTGGTCACACTGAGCCGTATAAGAAAAGAGGGCACAGTAAAACTCTCTTATTCACTGTTGTTTTACTAACCAAACAACTACCCGCCAAGCTCGACGTTGTTTTTTGCCTTAAAAGTTTAAAAAAACAACAAATAAACTGTCATGTTATTCGTTGTTTAGCATCAACCGTTAAAAACAAACCGTCCCGAGTATTCCCCTTTTACTTCACCAGGATGCGCGCGCATCTTGGCAACGGAAGCCGAAGTTTGTTGCTGCCGATAACTTCCACAACCGAAGCTAAACACACTGAATCCCAACTGGGGGGTTTTAAAAGAGTAAAATGTCGGCCTGTTGTGTGTCTGGCTGTAAAAATCGACGCTCCTCAACCAGCAAACTCAAACTGTACAGAATACCGTCCGGATACCGGCCGTTTCAGGCCAACCGGAGACGGTTATGGCTACAAGCGATCCGAGAAGTGAACGGCAGCACCGGGGAGCTCAAAGCCAATGCTCGTGTTTGTGGCGCTCATTTTATATCAGGTAAACATAACAATGCTTTTTTTATCTTACTAACATGATACACCAGCTTGCAAGAGTTGGTTGCGGTAGATACATGGTGGAAAATGTGTGTTTTTTTCCTGTTTTTCTAGGGGAAGCGTCCATGGACCACGACAGTCCAGACTTTGTGCCTTCTGTGTTTACATCCACTGAACACAGCGTGAGCGCCAAGAAAAAGGCCAAATGGTAAGAAATGTACATTCATGTTGTTATATAGATCACCTGCAAGGACATACTGTAACTTGTGATCATGTGTTGTGTCGCCAAACCCAGCAACAATGCACATATGATTTTATTAAAATCTACTTTAATCTCTCATGTGTTATTACCTAAATCTGGACCCTTGTGTTTTTTTTTTGGTTTGAGGGGATCATTTGAGCTCAAGACACAGTTTTTTTTATGTCCAACTTACATAATTAATTGATTAGTTTATTGTCAGACAATTAATTATTCAGATTTTTCAAACAAGAATGACAAAAAGTCTCTGGTTTCAGCTTCTCAAATGAAAGGATTTGCTGCTTTTTTTAATTTAGGATGGGCAGCTGAATATTTCTGGGTGTTTGAACTGTAGTCGAGCATATTTAAAGTGCTGCAATAGGAAATTGAAACAGTCACATAACACATTTTATTGGGATAGAACATTTACGTATATATGCTGTATAAATATGGTTACTACATTACAGTGTGAGGTTATCTTCCACTTTAAACTTGACATTACGTTTTTGCCAGCAGCTAACCGCTTTAACTATTTAGTGCATTGTCACAGCCTTGCCATGCACTCAGATCAATTGGTTTTCACAATTTCTTTTTTCTCCAAAGGTTTTACGGTCGTAGAAAAAAGCGCCGTCGTACAGCCGATGCTGAAACAAACAGAAGAACATCTCCAGCTCAAGTCGATTCTCCTGCGGACCTTCAGTCCTGTGTTTTGATGGAAAAAACAGAGACGCCATCGTCTCCATCGGGTCCAAAGGTAGCAACTACTCCTTGTATTTTCTGCTTTTAGAAAACATAAAATCAGTATATTTTATTTTGTGTTATTATTGTGTTAAGAAGGCATGCAATTTTACTTCTATGTGTGTGTGTTTCTTAGGAAGGAGAGACTGAAACCGAAAGCAAAACAATCAAATCACAAACAACCTCCAGCCCACACAAGGCAGAACCGTCATTTAAAGTACCAGCAGGCATCCCAAAACTCAACAAAAGTGCCATTGTGCTCCTAAAACCTGTATTTGTACCAGCAGGTGGGTATTTGTGCGAGCTGTGCAATCGCAAGTTCACCAATGCGTCACAGCTTGTAAAACACAAACAGCTGCATGAGGAAAAAAGGTCTTTTATCTGTGAAATTTGTGGAAAGCTCTTCACAAGTCACGCAGATTTAACTGAGTGTGTCCACGAGCCTTCCTTTCCGTGCAACATGTGCGATCGATCTTTCACTTCAAGTCATTACCTCAAGCGTCACAAGCTGCTCCATGTCAAGGATGGCAGGAAGTGCGGCAGGTGTGGCGTGCTCTTCTGTCAACGTCATAATCACATTTTATACCTGCCACAGACCGAGTCCGAACAGGATTCGTCCATCATCGAGCCTCAGGATTTAGGCAGTAATGTGATGCCAGAAAACGCTCCACTGGAGAGCGCACAGCCAGACGAGACTGCTGACCTTGATGACGATGCTCAGAACGCCATGACTGTAACGCCATTGGAGACAACCGCTTCGCCTGCACCCCCTAACGCTGTATCCAAGACCCGTAACGCCCTACCTCCAGCCTCATACACAAGAATCTTATCAGAGATCCCTAAACCAGTGTTAATAAAACCTTCCCCTGTGAAACGCCAACCTCCGCCAGTACCCAGGTACTCAAGGAAAGATTATCTCGCAACCCACGTTCAGCCCCATCTCCCTCAACATCCCGAACTCCCACCCTCGCTGAATATGTTTTCCCCCCAGTACCTCACCTCTGCGTTACTTGAGGTTAAAAGAAATTACGACTACATTTTAAGCAAACCAAGGGTTGTTAAGAAGAAGGAGGTGGATATTGTGAAGGTGGATATTGTGAAGGAGGAACAATGTGAGCTGCTGCTGATTCCTCCGGATGAGAAAAGCGTTGAGCACATCAAACAGGAAAGAACTGCTTATGACCTGGAGATTGTGCTCTGATCTAAACAGCGGGGGGGAAATGTATCACTACTGTGTTTTTTTGTCTGTTTTTTTTTTTTGCTTTGTTTTGAGGACAGTAGAGAGAGACAGAAAAGGCAGGGGAGAGAGAGGGGCTGACATGCAGCAAAGGGGCCGGATTTGAACCTGGGCCGCTGTGTTAAGGACGTGATATGCGCTGCCAGGACGCCCCAAATGTGTCACTTTTAAAAGCGCATAGTGAAAGAGTCTGGCATTTTATTTCACTACAGTTTTACCTTCAGTTAATTAATAAAGCTATCAGGACAATTAGTCAAACACATTATCATTTGATAGATAGATACTAGAGCTGAAACCTCAGCTCATTTATGCTTATTGTACTGCCTTTATGCCACACTTTTGTTGTCTGTATTGCCTGAACGTTTTATTTAGTGTTCATATGATATATGTCTACTGTGAATGTATTGCTGTATGCTTCAGTGCCTACTTTCTTTGTCAGTTAACTAATCTGATTCAGCACACTTATATATTTTTAAACCTAAGTAACTGAACTCACAATGCTGCTATTTTTTTAGGTGTTATTTTTAGTAACAGTAACTTGTATTTAGGATGCCGTTACTTCTGAATCACTGACAAGGTGAAATCTTTTTTCCACTGTACTGTTTGGTAAATAACGTTGTTCTAGATAGATAGATACTTTATTTATCCCGAGGGAAATTCAAGTACGCAAGAGGGATGTGGCCTGAATTGTAAAACTGTGCACCAGGTGGCATTGGGACTGCAGGCTATATTCTGTACTTTGCAGTTTGTGGGGTAATAATCAGTTTAGTCAGTGAGCAAATGCTTTAAATGATATCATGAATATCATTATCTAGCATCATATCTGAAAAGAATTGTCCATTAATCCAGTTTTCCCATCTACCTCAGCGACTGAGAACCACACAGAAACTGTAGTTTTATATTATAGAAATATGTTTGCACTAAATATTATGTCTTTTCCTCTCCATGTAAACAATCCTACTGTAGCTGTATTTTGGGTACATACGTATTATATCTTTAAGTTGGCCTGTGTGTACTAAAATCTGGAAGTGGCAGAAATCAGAGTGGTGGACTAAGAAAGGAAACTACATTTCCGAGACTTGTTTTTCCCATAACACCAAGCGCCATGTTAAAAGGACACTACTTCCCTCCCTGCTGCTGTTCTGTAGCGGACACTGACCCCCACGACTCTGTGAAGGGAGAAGTGAGACATTCACATTACTGTGTGCTTCTTTGGATGCAGCACACTCAAACACACTGAAGCTACAGGTTTAAAAGTGGTTGTTCACATATTGTCATCTTTTTGTTTCGTTTTTTAAATCAACTTTAAATAGATTTCAGTCACTACAGTCAATGGATGATGGTTTTATAACAATAAATGTTTCCAAAATGTTTTCTTTGTCTCATACTATTACCACTGTCATAGCAGTTTTATCTTGCACTGACATTAAAACTCTCTTTTTAAACCAAACAAAGGTCCAAAGGACACGCTGTTGGCTAAAATGGATAAATTGGAGTTGAGGAAGCCTAAAACTGACTCATTACTCATAAGTCATTGCATTTGTACATGAAACATTCAAACTGTATTGTGTCTAATCTTCACTTGGATCCAGTAACGAGAGATGAAAGAAATAGTGAAATGTATCTAAACAGAAATATAGTCTGTACATAACAATGCGTGCAGAAATAAAATGACAATATTTTATTTGCTGGGCTGTTCTTAACCTGTGGAATTATGGGAGGGATGGTTCTGTGGCCCAAAGGATTTGCAGGCCAAAGAGATGTATCAGATGTGTCCTGATGGTGGCACTAGAGAGATTGTTAAATTGACCCAAAACTGTCTGTCTGCTTGTCTTGGACCAACCTCTTATCAGTGTGTCATATTGCATTAACTGGACAGCTTGTTCTTTGAGCTGCGATACAATCCCATTGCAGAAAAAAGCCCCCAGTACAATACCACTAAAGTGCCTTCATGCCTTCATTCGAGGAGCCTTTTTCTAACTATATTTGTTTGTGGTTGCTAAAGGATCCGTTTACTTAACTACTACATCATGGTTTAGAAGTAAAACAAAATGATTTAGTAGAAGCAAAAGGTTTATTTGGTTGCATGATAATTATTTTAGAGTAAGTTAAGAAGTGATAATGCGCCTTTTTTATAAACAAGTTGTGATTAAGCTTTTCATTAATAAATAATTTACTAATGTCTATAGAGTGGTTACAAGCCTTTTATAAGAACAACTTTTGAGCTGCTAGGTTGTGATAAATCTCTCCAGCAGATGTTTTTGCCTCTTCCACATCTGGACCAAAATAATGTATCAACATTTAGTGCAAACTTGAAAAAAAACTCTCAAAAAATGGAATTACACTTTATTAAAGACATTTAAAAGTGCAGAATTTATGGTTTATTAGAATGTTTGGCCCTTTTCTCTTCACACCATATGACTTACAAACAACTGCAAACCTGTTGGCTTATTAAAGTGGGAAACTCATCACGACCCTTTAGTTCATCAATGACTGTTAACATTTCTAACTGCAGAACTGGTTAATTATTAAGAAGTAAACCCCATTAACCTTAATTAACGAGAAGGAAAAACAACAGCCAAAGGCATTTTCAGAACCTGGTGTTTAATATTAGGTTCAAATGTTCCTATTAATGGCTTATTACAGTTTAACAACAAGTTGTGATTTTAACAGATAAAAATGAATATATACCTCCAGTAAAAATTTAAATAACAGTCACATTGATAAGGAACAGTATTTGCTATAACTTTCACTATCTTAAAGACATACATATAAATTGTTTTCTGTTCTTAAATTTTAATTTGTGCCTAAATAAGAAAAAGTAGGTTATGTGTTAATTGAGTTCATCCCTCCAAAACCTTTTTGTACCACATCTCCGAGGCCAGATGAAGAGTTCACAGTCTGACTGTGACTCCATCTGCACGCTGTTACATCCTATTGGTCAGAAGGAACCGGTAATGGTGGGCGCTGCCTGTGATTGGCCGCTTTGACTGTCACTTACATCATAACGACTGCAGCGATTGGCCGACGTGTCCGGACCCCGAGCCGCAGATTGGTTGATGTGTCTCTCGCCTGGCTGCTTCGGTGACAGGCAAGTGGTGCTGATGCTGTGACAATGGGAGTCATCCAGATAAGCAGCATCTGGACCGAGTTTGCTTAAAAGCACAGCGGCGGCGCAACTGTGACTGTAAACGGGACGGGGAAGCAGCTGGGTGGAAACACGGGGAGGAAGCTCCAGCTGCTGCTCTGACAGGGTAAGTTTTACCCCCCCGGAAAACAAACTGACATGCCGCGGGCGCTCCAGTTCTAGCGTTCCTGCATGGGGCTCTTATTGGGGGGCCGTGTGCTTTGATTGGGGTGGGGGGGGGGCAGCTCTCAAGTACGTTCATAAAATCCCTCTGGCTAGGTGAAGCAAGGTTAGCGACCTGTACCGGAGTTCCCGCATGAATCTGAAGATGCTTTGGTACGGAGCTGAACAGGCTGTACTCTTAATGCAGCGGTTGTAGGAAGGCAGCTGTGAGTCAACTCATCCCCCCTTTTGGTCGACTGCATTGCGGAGAGAGCATGCCTTTGCAGGATAGTGTCTCTTCACTACTATTCTTCACCCTGTCTTGTACATAAGTCTTCAATACACCAACGTTGAAGGTTATTTTATTGTGCTGGGGTCTTCATGCCTTCTCACATCCTGAGATTTCATAGTGTCACATCATCATCATTCCCATGGATCCGGTTTGATGCATTTGTTACTGAATTAACATGTGTATTGTTGTGTATTTAGATGACTGCAAATTTAGCAATAAGATATTTAATTATCAGCACTGAAACTCTAACAGCTATTGCATGGATTTGCACAGATTTGTAGTGAGGTGCTGTGCATGCTGGGATTTGAAGTTTGAAGTATGTTGACAGTGATGCAGTCTATGCTTGCCTGTGTGCTTAAGTGCAGCACACATACAGTATGTTGTACTTATGCATTATAACCAATATATATGTATATATCTATATATATATAGATATATACATGCTGACACTGGTGATACAGATTCCATATTTCGTTGCTGTGAAAATGCAGAGTTTGGCTTCCCTCTGCTTTTTAAGTCTAGTGATGGGAGCATTCAGCCGGCAGAAGTTTTTCCAGGAGCTTGCTCATGGCTGCCTGCTGCCTACAGCTCAGCAGGGCCTGGAGCAGGTATGGCAGCTGCTGGTTATCTGCCTGCTGTGTCGGCTTCTCTGGATGTTGGGTGAGAGTCCAGTTATTTTGTGCGCACTCAGTGTTATTCGTCCCTACATATAGCTTGCGTCATCATAATCACCTGTGCTGTACTTTATTTCTGTTTCTCGCTATATGTCAGGCCTCCCCTCCTTTGTGAAACACTTGGGCACAGTAGCGGGAGGTTTCTACACTCTCTACCTGTTCTTTGAGCTTCATATGATCTGGGTGGTCCTTCTCAGCCTTCTCTGCTACCTCTTCCTCTTCCTGTGCCGCCACTCTACCATCCGAGGCACCTTCCTCTCCATCACTGTGCTCATCTACCTGCTGCTGGGGTAAGAGAGTCCTCCTCCGACACCTGTCAAGTCTGGGTTTCAAGTGAACACTTCTCAAAGTCAGTTGTTGCAGTGAAGTTGCGTTTGCAGCGAGAACTACATCAAAACTGAAACTATTCTTATCCCATTTTATCAGAGAGCTGCACATGATGGACACCACCAACTGGCACAAAATGAGGGGTAGGCCAGGCATCTTTTCTTTCAGCAGCAACATTTGACACATTTCTGCTAGATAAAAGCAATAAATGTGATTATTTTAGGTTTACCTTTATATTTAGCATTGATTATCCTCTTATGTTGGAATCTAGTGACCATTTAAGTGCTGCTGCTGTTGTCCAGGTTCACAGATGGTGGTTGCCATGAAAGCCATCTCTCTGGCCTTCGATTTGGACAGAGGTGTGGTGACCAGTGTACCCTCACCCATTGAGTTCATGGGCTATATTTACTTTGTGGGCACAGTCATCTTTGGTCCCTGGATCAGCTTCAACAGCTACAAAGAAGCTTTAGAAGGACGTAAGCTGGTTAGTGTGATACGGTATCTCTTAAGTATTGAAGAAGTTGCGGGTGAGGATTATTTAAAAGGTTTATCCTGAGACGAGCCGTTAACTGTTCAAATCTTTGGCTCTTTTCTTCCTCAGAGCTTTTCGTGGCTTTTAAAAGTATCTGTTAGCTGGGTGAAGAGCCAGGTCTGCCTTGTTATTTCCAACTGTGTGGCACCCTACCTCTTCCCTTACTTCATACCGGTATATGGAGACAAGCTACTACGAAGGTGAGTGGAACACAGAGATACGTAAACAAATCAAAATCCCTGTTTATCCTCTGGCTTGGATTGTTTATGGTTTAAACCTCACCTATTACCTGCTTTGTTTACAGCAAAAAGAGGAGGAAGATCAGGTAATCATTTGTCCACCTTGGACATACTCAACACTGTAGGCATGCCCTCCATATATTGGCCCTCGTATTCTTTAATGCATTTTCTCACCTTTACCTGCACGCATGTGTCCACATCATTCCCCCTTTCTGTGTCAGGACACCCATCTCACCCTCTCATTTACAACAACTGTTTCACCATCTTCAAAAGAGACATAGTTCATCACATGGCAAGTCAATAAAACTTTTATATGAATTTAATGTATCACTAACATTAACTTCTTCACTCTCTCTCTTTATTCTATTTCTTCAGAGGTACACCGGCAAAGTACGTCTTTTAGTGTTGTATAATTATTAATTCATTATGTTCTTTATGTTTTAAGCTAAAATTAGAATGTAATATCTGTCTGTGTCTTTCTCCTTTAATGTCATTGCATTAGGTGGTTGCTGGCATATGAGAACACAATGTCTTTCCACTTCAGCAATTATTTTGTCGGTTATTTGAGCGAGACTACTACTACTCTGGCCGGGGCAGGCTTCACGGAAGAGAAAGACAACCTCAAATGGTCAGAATTGCATGTGCAGTATTAACAAGTGTGTTTCTCTTTATTCACATTTTGTAAACAGCCCCCCCCCCCATTTACTTTTTATTCTGTAGGGACATGACTGTATCCAAGCCACTGAATATAGAGTTTCCCCGGTCGATGGTGGAGGTGGTAACCTCGTGGAATCTGCCCATGTCTTGCTTTCTGCACACCTGTGAGTTATAATGTTAACAGTGATTGCTTGATGGCAGCAGCTGTTTTTGGTTTTTCATGCTCATTATGAACGGCACGATAATGGCTCATTTAAACAGACACTCTCATCCCACAGATGTTTTTAAGAGTGCTCTCAAATTTGGGACGTTCTCTGCCGTCATGGTAACATATACAGCCAGCGCCCTTCTGCATGTGAGTACTATGTGGAAGTTTTATAGAAGCCATTTTACCTCATACTTTGCACCGATGTGTATTTGTTTAAACAAGTGGATTTTTTTTATTCTAACTTTTGTGTCTGGTAGGGTTTGAGTTTTCATCTGGGTGCAGTACTAATATCTCTTGGGTTTATCACCTACATTGAGCACGGTGAGAGTCTGCCTAATGTTGTCTCTTTTCCACATTAGAACCTTTCCATTTAGAGAAGTTGCTTAGCTCTGCAGTAATGGTTAATTGCACCCGCTATAACATACTGTTTCTGTTGACTGCAGTGCTTGTAATTTACCTCTTATGGTTAGAAAGGAACTCTTTTCTGTGGTTTCATTTTAGTGCTTTGGTCTTGTTTTGTGTTTCAGTGTTGCGGAAGAGGCTTGCAGCCATTTTTAATGCCTGTGTTCTGTCAAAGAAATGTCAGCCCAACTGCACTCACAAGAATAAAAAGGTAATATGCACCATTCTCTCTCTTCTCCTTTTTTTTAAAAAGAGAAGTGCCTTTATTATCATTTAAGATCAGCAGTGGGAATATTAAAGTAATACTTATAAAGCATTCAAACATATTGAAAAATATGCTTATTTGTTTTCTTGCTGAGAGTTACATGGGAAGGTGAATACTCTCGTCTAAATATGTATACTGAATATGAAGCTAGAGCCAGGAGACCATTAGCTTAGGGGGAAACAGCCTAGTCGTAGTGGTTTTACAGGGCATCATGTGCTGGACTATCTCTTAGCAAGACACAGTGACTTCCTGGAGTGTTTTGACTGGTAGCCCTTTTTTTTATCGTTGGACAGAGTCAGGCTAGCTGTTTCCCCCTGCTTTCAGTCTTTATGCTAAGGTATGCTAACAATATCATGGCTCCAGCTTCATATTTGAAGTACAGACATATGATTTGTATTAATCTTCCCACGTATTTCCCAAAATGTTAAAATTATTATTTTAAGAGAAGCCATAATGCAGCCCCTATGTAACCTATACCAATTTTTTTTTACAGTTGAATATTTTTAAGTTTATGTTTTTATTTTAATTCCTGTTCATTTATTTTTTTCCTGCCTTTTAAATGTTCATACATGTTTAACTAATGCTTTGTGCTGCACAAATAGAAATCTATATTCCGATCACAGGCCTGTGGTGTTTTGTACATGTATAGTACATATTCTGGTTTTCTTCCAACTATTTTATCTGTGCAAATGGTCATTGCACTGGCATTGCTGGCACTTCCTTTCAGAGCAGGAGGTGCTCAAAGGGGGCCTACCTAGTAGATCTTCTGGCCTAGTTAGCATTCAGAAAAAAATGTGTTCTCTATTTTTACTCTGCATGTATTTAAAAATATGAAAACTAAACCCCTTTTAATTTCTCCCTTTGATTTAACCTGTAATAAGAATCATAATAAACCTCAGCAGGCAAAGTGACTATCATATTAGAAAACACAAGACATAGTACAATAATTAAAAAGATTTACCTAATGAATTACTAAAGCAGTGTAGACCAAATGTTTGAATGCTGTAAAAGAACGTATCTGCGGCAGTTAAAATACAGCAGCCCCCATGGTCCGCCTTGTGCTGTCAATTGATATATTTTGGGAGTTTACTGGCAGTGCGCCCAGCAAAAATCCCTTATGTTATATTGGTTACACACATCAAGAGCAGTGGGGAGGGCGAATAATGATTTATGCCAAGAAGAAGCAGCCTGCATGGACTGCGAGATAGTGCTCATTGTTCCCATCATATTTTAGGCAATGATACGTTAAAGCCCCTGAAAATGTGGTTTCAAATCTTAAGTATTTCTCCATAGCATTAAATATACATTACTAAATGTGCAACAATCAGTTTAGTAGAAGAAGGTATTTTCTTTAGGTTTTCTTTAGTCAAACACTCAGCTAATCCGCTTCATGAAGACTATGTAAGGAGCTGAAAGAATAGGTTTTCAGGATGTTTAAGAGAAAAACTAATGCATATTATAATGAAAAAGATATGGATAAAAGTGTCTGAAATATTGATTTAAGTGCCTTATTCTTACATGATGCCTTGTCTCTCCCTCTGCAGGCACTATGGGTGTATATGATTAACATAGCGTTCAGCGCATTGGCAATACTCCACCTCACGTACCTGGGGTCTGTGTTCAACTCCAGCGTGGACTACATGGAGGAGGATGAGGTAAGGTCACAACATGTTTAGAAGAGTATAGGCAACTATATTATACAAGTCAAGTAATTTTTATATAGCACAGTATCACAAATTAGCCTCAAGGGTATTTACAATCTGTACAACAGACGACACCCTCCATCCTTAAACCCCTACATTTTGTTTTTTCCCCGACAAACTGAAGAAATTAGAAAGAAACCTCAAAAAGAGCAACAGAGGAGGGCTCCCTCTTCCAGGACTGACATACATGCAATGGATGTCAAGTGTACAGAACAGACCAACGTAAAAGTACACCCTGTACTCGTAAAATGTACTTCACATTTCACATGTTCATATGTCACATAGTTTTTGTGACAAATACTGTATAGGAATGTAATCTTCACTGCAGTATTTATAGCTCAAAGGAGATAAGTCATAATTATCTTTTCGTGCAAGTAGTTTTAAATCTGTTCAGAAAGTAAAAACTAATGAACGATTCATCCCATTTTTTGTATGCATTTTTTTATTTTTATGAAAGGTATAAATAAGTAAAGGTGTGTGTATATGCATTGCCCCATTGAGCTTACATAGTATGTATTGCCCCCTACAGGACGATATTACCCATCATACCATTCAGAAGTGGTCCGAGCTGAGCTGGACAAGCCACTGGGTCACATTTGGATGCTGGATATTGTACCGCCTCATTCTCTAATAATAGGAGAGAGAAACAGAGAAGGTAAAGGAAGCAATAATTAGATTTGTAAGGCTGGTTCTCCACTTCTGCACTGTGACTTTATTCTGCATCAGACCGAAGAGAACTGAATCAACCTGTATACAACAACAAACCAACACGCAGTGTTCAGGTTGCGCCGCATGTTGGCTGGGTAATCTATTATTCTAACCTGCTGAGGGACTAGTTTTGATATCCATGAAATGATAGCCCGCTCCTCCCTCCTTGTCTCCTTATCGTATCCTTTTTATCTGAGCCGCAGTTGTCAAGGCCTCATGTTGTGACAGCAGTTACCGATGTCTCACTGCGAGTCACAATCAATACCTATCAGCATGGAGGAGATCGGCTGCTCCTTTCTGTGGACACATGATAGAGCCCATTATCTAGGTTTCAGCGTCGACTGCGGCAGATGTCCTCCAGATGTGGTTTCCCCTTGCCTCAAGTGTTTTACAATCGTATTTGTAGGTTTGAAGGATAAAGCTTGTGATGGTCTTTGGCTTTCTTATTTTCAACAAATCCCATAAAAATACCAAAACTAATCATGCGTCAGACTGTCCCAGTAGTTTCTGACTTCCCAGCTTGTCTTGGGGCTCTCAGCCAAACCCATTGTATGTGTTTGAATTTTTTAAAAGGCTGAATACTTTTCTGAAACAGCCAGGCGCTGCAGTTTCAGCAAACATTTCTCAAACGAGTAAATGCATTTGTTGTCACTGACACATTTTTTACAACAATGGATGTCTATGACACAGAAAAATAACATTTACCAGGCTACATCAAACAGAGACAACAGCTGTTAATAGTAGGGATGAGTGAGTACACCATTATCTGTATCTGTTCAACCAACTAAATTATCTGTATTCATATCTGAACTCGAAATGGGGTGTTAATTTAAGCCTGAAATGGATGAGGGTTTATTAAAAGTTGCTGTATTTATTAGAAAACTATTTACAGAACAGTCTCAGAATTGAGCTTCAGAGCAATGTTTTTGATCACAAGAGTAAGAGAACTATTTACAGAGGACGTTTTAAAAAAAGTTAGTATATTTATAATGTGTATATGTATGTATATTTTACTTATTGTAAAAGAGGCTTGTTTCAGCTGAGTACTTGCTCGACCCTAGTGAATAGAATCAATTCATAGCTGGTTTTGGTCTTTTCATGCCATTTGTTGGCAATAAGAAAAAAAGATAAAGATAAATCATTTAACTTCTCCTTTATCAGAGTTTGTCTCCTGAGCATGTGTAAAACAACAAAGAGTTTACCTCTGAAAGAAAAGAGCACAGGTTATAGTTGAGAGGCAGCAATTATACTGTCACCACTAATTATTTCCCTTTTTGTGAATTTTAGATAAAAAAAATTACTTAATCAGAAAGTCTTTGAATTCATCTTTGTGGTGAAATTTCCTAATGGTGTTTGTATTTTGTTTTGTTATTTTCGATAATTTCTTTTAAATTTAATTATTTTTCCTTTTTAAAAAAAAAAAAAAGTCTTGTTAGTATTTGTGAACATTTGAAACACTCTTCAGTATTGAAAGTTTAGATTCAGGGTATTCCACATGTGTTACTGTATGGAAAAATGTTTAAACTTCTCTTCCAATTTCATATTAGATGAAATCATACAGTACACTATTGAAATATTTATCCTTACAGATTTTTACTACACTGCTGCTTTTAATGATGCATTTATGTCATTGACGGTTACCTGGTGAAAGAATCAAAAGAGCATCTGTAAAAGATTGTGTTCACATTTTGTCTATTTCTTAAATCTAGAGCGTCAAAGGATTTGCTTCTTGACTAAGATGTAGTGTTTTAGATTAGAGCCTGAATGTTCGTTCATGCCTGAGAACAAGTGCTCAGTCTCCGCAGACCTAGTACCACTCACTCCAACAAGTACAGTATTTTAAATATTATTCTGATATTTACTTTAAGCCAACTTTTCTCCCTGTAAATGTGAAGGCACTGATACACCTGTGATATTTTTATAAAATTTTACATGAAACCTGAATTTTGCTGTCTTTGTTTCATTTGATGTGGGAAAAAAGAAAAACAATCCAAACAGGAAATGAACGAGAAGATGCGAAATGTTAGGATAGAAGTCAGGTACACGTGGACTGCTGTAAGAAATAGCTGTTTATTTCAATGATTATTTACAAGAAGAGTGTTTGGACTGTTAGACAGTCTATGAAGGTGAGTTAGGGAAGGATTTGAAAGGGGTGACAAACTTTTTTCTTTTTTTTTTTAGCTCAGCAGTTGTCCGGTTTAACTTGGAGTTTATATCTGAGCATCCAATAACCCAAAGCGGACAGTGTGGGGAAGGGGACAGATAAGGGTTAGAGAGTGAAGGTGGGGGGGGAGAAGGGAGGAAGGAACAGAGGTTGAACAACAGATGGTGATGGATGGAGATCAGGTTTACTTTCTGCCTCTGTGGGAGGTGAGCAGATGCTGTATCGGAACTGGCCGCACAACAGCCCAGTCTGAAGGCTCAGGGGAAAAGTGTGGCGCACTCAGCCCTGTTTGCCCCGGGGGACCCCATGTTTACGACGGCAGGACCCCAGCAGTGTCTCCAAAGCCATCTTCACAAATGCCTGGAAGTTATTGCTTCTCTCCCTTCGGCTGTCCTGCGAGGGGATGAAACACAAACAGATACCTTCACTGGGGACACAGCAATCACAGCATCTCATTTCCACACTGTGCACCAGAGATAGCGACCTTCTTGTTGTGTCCAACACAGGAAGGCCCATATCAGCCATGCAGAGAACTGTAGATTATTTTGTTTTCTTCTTCTACTAGGAAATCATGTAGTCTGTGCACAGATTTGATTCACTGGGTTAAAATAACATGCTGAGAAAAAAAGTAGGTTTATATAAATGTTTACCTCCTTGCTTCTTGTTATCATCTCCTTTCTGATCAGCTTTCTTCGGCTGCTCTTTAGGACTCTGAGGTTGCTGTGGAATTGAAGTAAATATACCGGTAAATAAACTGATGCAAAAAAAATACAGGTTGAGAAGAAAATTTGATTTTTGGACTAGTATAGTAATGATTTTCCTACCTTGGTAGCTGACTTCTTGTCCGACTTATTACCTGTAAATAATAGAAATAGTCACTTTAACTACATTTTCTTTCTTTTTTAAATCAGTGATAACATTTTTACATATCATTAAACATGCAGCTCTTCTAGTATCCAGATACATTAAACAAAAAAAATATTTTTTAGACATTTTTGTTTTACGTTACTTTACCTTTTGTTCCGGGCATTTTGGCTGTGCTCTAGAGTCAGTGCTGATTGTCTGAGAATGCAGTGCTTAATGTGGTGTTCAACTCGGTCATTTATGGCCCGTGCTTGTGAATGGCTCCGTCACCGGGGCCCCTTCGAGAAAGAGCACCATGAACAAGCAAAGAGCCCTGTCAGCTGAGCAGCATGCCCCACAGCTCTGCAGGTCTTTGCTGAGCCAGGCGAAACCTCAGAGCTGACCTTGTAATTCTGCTATTGTGAGGCCACTGGAACTGTGTGTTCACCTATTGTCCATGACAAGAAAGAATTTTCATCATGTTACCAGCAACATGACAGAGGGGTTTTTAAATAAACTACTAGACCAGGGATACATTCCCTTCATGTTGATTAGCCATGTTAGATTTTGTCCTACTAAATAAGAATATTTTTATGATTACACTAAAGCAGTCTTCAGTGTCAGCACTGTAGGAGTGGAAGATTGTGGCAGGGATCATTAAGTGAGGCTCATAATTGTAATACTCTGTTTGCTTTATTGTGTGTACTTCCACAGGGGGGCTAGTAAAATATTGCTGATATTAACCAATTGATTATTTTTGCCCCTAGAGGACCCCTGCGGTCCCTGAAGGCACCACTCCAAATATGCAAATACAAGCAGTACCATTGTTATTACATTGTGCTGGTGTATAGGCTATGTAGGGCAGTGGGAGGACGGTAAACAGAATAAATTAATAATGTTGCAACATTTTATAGTGTGGCTGAATTAAAAAACCTTGTGAAACCATGATGTTGTAAATCAAGCTGTCTTGTTTTGTTTTGTTTTTTGGTCGTGGTCTCTTGCTTAACCTTATCCAATCAGCTGTGGTCGGGGTCATCATACTGGATCAAACATTAAACCATGTTAAACGCTGTGAATCATCGTGCAGACACACATCAGAAAGTGGGCTGGTTACAACCTGTCATGTGACCTGACTGACAGAGCAGCGATGGAGAAAAGCTAAGGAAGGTGAGGCGTTTTCCAAGGAGTTTCTCGGTGTTTTCCGCGCCATATTATGACAATGCAATGCCGTATGAGCTGTGTAAGATTGCTAACTGATGGACCATCTGTGTATTTTGAAGAATGGATGGGAAACTGGTTTGTAAGCGAGGGCATCGCGTCTGATGTTGTGGCTAACTTGCTAATGTGCTAGCTGTCGTTGGTTAGCTTTGCGGCTCGTCTGCTCTTGGTGCTGCTGCGAAGAAGAACCAATAAAAGCCCCAAACCAGTTATTCTTTATCTCTTTACGACTGTTTCAGTTCATATCATTATTTGTTTTTGTTGTGTTCGGGTGTCAAAACCTTAATAAGCATACCAAAAGCTCAACAACAAGGTGTTTTCCCCCTGTGGTGTTATTAGATTCTGCATCATCACTAGATTCAGTGCTGTGGTTGGGAGGAGGAGGAGGAGGGTGGTGATATGTCACTTCTATCCAATGTAACATTAATGTTAGCTAAGCCACATGCTCAAACAGTGCATATATGTAAAGTGTGTTAATTAAAGTGTAATGTTGTGCATTTAGGGATCTGCCCTGGCAGTGGATTCCTCTCTACCCAGAGCGCTTGTGGAATGGCAGCAGTTTGGCAGCAGGTTTTGGCAGTGGACGCAAGGTGAGACTCAATCATGCAGCGGGGCTTTAATAGTCTAAACTGATGAAGAAGCTATTCAGACGTGTAATTGCTTATGGATCAGTCGTGAGTTATTGTGTGTGCTGTGTCACTTCTTTCCCCCCTACCCAGGTACAATGCTTACCGCACGCCTACGTTCCCACAGTTCCGAACTCAGTACATCCGCCGACGCAGCCAGCTGCTCAGAGAGAACGCCAAGTGTGGCTTTGAGCCGGGGCTGCGCAGGCAGTACCTGAGGCTGCGCAGTCAGCTGCTGGCCCTGCGCTACGGGCCCCTGTCTGAGCAGAGCAGCTTCAGGGCCAGCAGTGTGCGCAGCTCCCGCACCACACTGGACCGCATGGAGGTCAGACCCAAAGAAACAGAAAGGGCAGGGAAAGTAGGAGAGGAAGAATAGGAGGGGGTGTGTGTACTAATTTGGAAGAGGAGAGATAAAAATATCTGAGAGTTGGAATGAAAATATAGGATACAACATATGAGAGCCATCTGGATGGCTAAATCAATCAGCAGCATAGCCAAACAACACTTTAATTGCCCATGCATATTAAGCTGAGCAGCTTGGTTGAAATGGCTGGCATTGCCCATTTATTAACTTAAATATGCATGGTAATTTCAATAAGTTTTCAAGAATTATTGATGGTTGTTTTATGATTACTTGTGGTCACGCGTCCTGTATCTACTTGCACTCACTCCTACGAGGTTCTGTCTCCCCTACGGCTCCCCCCAACCCCCTCTCCTCTCCTCCCCTCTCCTCTCCTCTCGGGCAGGACTTCGAGGAGGACCCCCGCGCCCAAGGGGCTCGTGGTCACCGCCGGTCCGTCAGCAGAGGCTCATACCAGCTACAGGCCCAGATGAACAGAGCCGTCTATGATGAGAGGTACCCAGAAGAATGCCACACACAGATCCTCATCTTACATCCAGCATCTTGTCTCATCGCCTTGAGCAATTGAATTCTCTTTGATTTAGTTCTCCTTTGAGCTATTGCGTTTAGTTGGATTTACTGGCTGTAATTCTAGTTTGGTTGCATTGAGTAATGATCAGATCTCTCATATTGAGTTGTCAGCTGTAGGCAAGGGTTGTGAGGTGTGTTGTATTGATTCTATGCTTACATGGCGGTTTTTATTTCTGGCCGCAGGCCTCCGGGCAGTTTGGTGCCCACCTCAGTGGCAGAGGCCAGTCGTGCCATGGCAGGAGACACAACTTTGAGTGAAAATTATGCTTTTGCTGGCATGCACCACATATTTGACCAACATGTAGACTCTGCTGGTAGGTGAAGACTTTTAATTTATGATAATCCATTCAAATAACTTAAGATTCAACATTTATTTCACTCTTATCTTTCCCTCCTTGTTCTTTTAGTTCCACGGCTGCAGTTTGCCAATGACGACAAGCACCTCCTTGCATGCTGCTCACTGGATGGGACCCTGTCCATCATGACATTGTCCACGACTCCTCCCAGTGTTAAAGTGACCCTGAAAGGTCACGGAGGGCCTGTCACAGACTTTGCTTGGTCTCTGAGCAATGACATCATTGTGTCGACATCACTAGATGGGACTCTGCGTATCTGGAACACGGAGGATGGACGGTGCATCCGAGAGGTCAGAGATCCAGAATCCAGCGAGTTGCTCTGCTGCACCTTCCAGCCCATGAATAACAACCTTACTGTGGTGAGTCCCGTTTGAGACGTTGAGAAGTTATCATTTTATATTCTCTTGTACTAATTCCCTATTAGCACAAAAACCTTCGCAAGGGAATTGTACTTAATTATGGGTAACCACATTTTCAAAAATACAGCCAGATCCCCTAATTGGCTGTTTTGTATTTTTAGTTTTTTCATAAACAAATTGTTCATCCTACATTTCTTTTTTTGTCTTCATCTTGCTCTTCTCTGGTCCTGGTATACACCAAACTATTGACGGTGACTTTTGCAGCTTTTATTTCCTCTTCTAACATCCTATAAAATTAATTAATCACCAAGCAACCTTTTTTTGCTCAAAACACTGTCTAATTGTTGTGAGTGAAGTATATTCACAAAATAATAAAGCATTCAAAGGGCCCAACTTTCCAATAATAGCCTTTCATCTCATTCCCAATTACTTCATGCATATTTACAG